CCAAGGTTTCATTGTGTCATACTCTGATGCCATAAATGCTCTCTCTAATACCCTCTTCCTGCCCCCCCCCACCAACCCTTTATAGTTCTTTACTCTTTACTTCTGGAAAGAGCATACTCTTCCCATTACTTCTGGAAAGAGCATATTATACAGCTTGTTACAGCACACCTGAATTTCCTTATTTTAAGGAAATGACATGAAGAGATCAGATTTGTGGAAGCTGGTATTGTGGGAGTCTCTCTCTCTCCACATTAATGTATTAGCACAGAATTTCCTCAACCATTAAATCTTAGATTTAATCTGAAATAGCCAATTTTTCAAAACATTTATTTCCACAAATACACAGATATAACCCTTTTCATGGTTAATCCAGGAAAAAACTTCCCTTGACAATGAAGGAACTTAGAGCTAAACTTATTTCCTGGGTTATTTATTCAATGAATTTACTGTGTGTCCAAGGTCCCTGATCTTGCATTACTCAGTCTAGTGCAAAAGACAGACTCAATATACCACTAATTAGACTACAGAGCTAACTGTTATCATGAAGAAAAATGCTGGGGACTCCCTGGTGGCGCAGGTGGTTGAGTGCCGCACTGTGAAGCTGTCCGTAGCTTCTGCAGTGCTGGTTCAATCCCGGCCGGCTGGGTTGAAACCCACATGGCGCAGCAGACCTCTCCTGTCTCGCTCACTGCTCCCCTCAGCAGTGTATTTCATCAGTCTGCCTGTGCTGTTCCCCACTTTGTCTCTGGTGAATCCTCTCACCCTTCCATGCATCTGGCCTGTACCCGGTTCTTGTATAAACAAATTAAAAAAATCTTAAAAAAAAATAATAAAGAAAAATGTTGTAAGCAGAGGAAACAGTAACAAGTTTAACCTCATGCGTAGTGCCAACATTCATTTCTCTGGGAAGACTTTTCCATCATCCCAGGTAATACATTGGAAGGGGGTGGGGTGGGGTGGTGTGTGTGTGTGTATTTTCAGACTATTTCTCTCCCTGTAAAATGGGAACTTCTTGAGGAAAAAGACAGTGTCCCCAGCCTGGAACACTACAGTATGCCCTTGATCAACAACTACTTGAAACATACATTTGAAACTGGTTTTCAAGAAATTCTAGACTTGGCCAGGTAGAGAAGGCTTTGTAGACTAAGATTCAACATTAACCTGCCATGTCCAGCAGCATATATGCCCTAAATATGTGCTGCTTTTGACTTCTAAGTGCAAATACCTTATAACTCATATTTAAGCTTTTTCCTCACTATAACAGGTTCTAAGAGTTCAGTTTTTATTATTGCTATTTTTTTGGGGGTGGGAAGGGCTATAATCTGGGTATTACAGAGATTCATTTTTTAATATAAGACTCTCCAGTTCTTCTTGTTTGCTTTAATACCTTCAAAGAGACTGACCTCACCAAATAGATTCAATAAACTAGATTTATTATTAAGAGAACCTCAAAAACTTCAAGTGCTTGATTTCTTTGGAACCTTATTCTTAAATTTAAGTTAATTCAAGTAAATTTTATGCTAATGGAAAATCACTCATCAAAATAATCAAAATTTTCTCACATGTGAAAAAATTAAATCAACTTATTGTTGACTGAGGAGTAAAAGGTAGAAATTATATAAAATGACATTTTTCTTTGACATAGAGATACACAGGTTTAACTATTAATTTTTTGGGGGTGCTGGCAAACATTTCATCAGTACCAACACCCACTCCCTGGCTGGTGGAAGGGCATTGGCAGCCTTGTCAATTTTCTGGAAGACAGGTATTGGATAGAGAAAGGCATCCCAGGTTATCCTACACCCAGTAAACAACCACTTAGGTAGGGAAGAGTATATACTTTTAGAAGGGATCTTACTTAGAGAGGCTCTCTGCTAACCAACCTCTCATTTACAGAAAAGAACAATGAGGTCCAGAGAACAGAAGTGAATTTTCTCAAATCCAATGTCAGCAGAACCCAGAGATCCTGACTTGGTCAGGTACTGTATCCACCATGCTTGGTTATACACATTTCATCAGGACATCAAGACTTTACAACTACAGTCAAAATGTTCAGAAGGGAAGAATACTCATAGAACAAAAAGGCACAGAGCGCTGAGTCAGCCCTGAAACATGCACAGAAGAACCAGTCATCTGGACATCCTCTGACAGTTGTCTATCAGAGATGCTATGAGGTTGGCTGGCTCATGGCTTTAGACAAATTCCACCTAATTTTCCCAATATCTGAGAGATACAGGGAAATATCTATTCTGAGAGAAAGTTTCAAGTTTAAACAGGATTAGCAGTATGAACAGCACCAATTTAGTGAAATGAATCCACCAACAGGAAGTTAAACCAGCAGGTTAAAGATGCTTGCTGGGTGGGTGTAGTGCAGAAGGAGTACCAGTCAACTCCAGAACACTATTTCCAATCTCCAGAGACTCTCACGATCAAGGGCAAAAGAAAAATATCTGGGTCATGCAAATTTCCTTTGTCATCTGAGCTCAGGGGTTGAGCTCAGGTCTTCATGCCACCTGTCTCAAGTCATCACTTTCTCTTCTTCATGAAAAAAAGTAGGAAAAAATAACTTCTAAACTACTAATTTTATGGTATGGAAGAAGCAGAGGGCAACAGAACATGATGGGTACAAAAATACTATTGAAGACTTTTCATTAAAATTGATGAATGAAGATGAAATCAGTTTGCATGTTTTGGCAACATGGGCAATACCACAGACCTGTTTTCCTTGATGCAAACAGTAACTTCACAGATAGCTGGGTAGTGCCACATGATAAATCTGAACCAGCATACTTTTAACTAAAAGTTGAAACTTTAAATTGACTGATACTAAGTTTTGACGGTTCATCATTTTTTTACCATCTGCCTTGTGATAGGACATTCCACTCATTTTGTGGAAAATTCAAAACATGGACAAAGATCTATTGTCAGAGAGAATTCCACCACTGACAAAAGAAGTGCACAAATTTTCTTCTTTTGCAGTAATTTTATTATATTGAATACTGCTTAAAACACACAGGCAATTGTCTAGACTAGGGAAACATTTCTGTTGTGCAAATATTTGTGTTATGACCTAATATTATTTTCCAAAGTGCGGGGTATGTAATTTGGACTCTACATATACTTATGGTTCCCATCTTCCAAAAATCAGTAAATGGAAGAAACTTTATCAACCTTTGATTATAGTTGACAGTACCCTGAATACCTGACCATACACCACCTGAGAAATAACAAACTCAGTGTGTTATTGTAGGTTCTCATTAATATGATGATACTCATCTTTGGAGCACACTCATTTCACAGGTCAAATACACTGCTTAAATTATTTCAGAGGAGGCTACAAACATCGCAGTCCCTCCTCAGACCTCAGCAGGCACTGCATGGCAAGAGCATGCAAGGAGTGCTTAAGCACCTGGGATGGCCTTGGGTCTCCTCCAAGCTGCATCTAGTATTGGGTCAGTCAGAAAACTTGTCACTCAGTTTTCAAATATCTAAGCTAATGTTTCAGTTTAAGTACCTAATATGATAAACAAAGGTGACAAAGCCCTTTTAACAATGTTTCTTCCTTTCACTTACAGCCCTCTGCTTGTCATCACCTCCTCAGGGAGCCTATGAAACCAAAATACACAGCTGACCTAGTGAAAATATGGAGTCACAACTGGAGCATGTGGCACAACCTAATTTTGTTTGGCTCCTCCTCTAGCCAGGACTTTGGAAAACTGGTAATAGTGACTAAAAGGCAAGGAAAGTGCTCAGTACTCCTCAGCTTGGCTACATCAATCTGTCAAGGTGAACTGTTAGCCATGCTGTGTAAGTTTCCTGCAAAACAGGCTCCAATGCCTTCAGAACATAAGAACATATGCGATAATATAAGAAAAACAGTTGGCACCAAGTTCAGTTTCCTTTCCCTGCCAAGCCAGTATCACTATGACTACATGGAATGTGCCAATTGCATTAAGACAGACGTTTGAGAGCAGACTGAATATGGACATGCAGTTAAGCGCATACTTGGGTTCTTTCTGATATTTACAGGTGGTATTTAGATCTGAAAAGAGGTTCTTCACTACTAGAAATGCTTTTTTTTTTTTTTTTCCTCTCTGAAAGGAAAGAAGAGTAAATGTTGCTGGAATTCAAGGAGGATACAACATACAGCTAAGCAATTCCGCTGAGCAAAGCCTGACTGACACTCCAGGATCACAGGCCCAACTGCTGACTCCAATGACCTCCATCATCCTCACGAGTTACTTTCAGGAGGGAAGGATGCAGGAGAACGAGGCCTTGATTCACCTCATTACCAACTTTAAGTGTAAACCCTTTAGCACAGTGGATCTTAATCCTGGCTGTACCTTGGAATCACCTGGAGAGCTTTTAAAACTCTAGATGCCCAGACTACACCCCAAACCAATTACACCTGATCATCTGGGGCCGAGACCCAGACACTGCGTTTAGAAAGTCCCCAGAGATTCAAGATGCAGCCAAGGATGGGAACCCCTGCCTAGGGTCACCCCCTCCTGACCTCATGAGAGTCCAGGCAGGAAAGCCTATCTAGAGGGTTTCAGAACCACAGCTTCTGAGTTGGGCAGCTGCGACAGGGTCCTTAAGTGCAGGCACATGCCCCGGAGATGCCCGCCTGGAGAGCCACATAGACAGCTGAACAGTTTATTTGCTAGAGGGTTACCCCGATCCTCAAGCGGTTCTTCTGCTTTTTCAAATAGTTTGACAAAAAAAATTTTTTTAATTCTCCAATCTTCAGACGTCCCCAAAGCCCATTCGGTTTTCTTTCTTTTTGAAGGCAAATCCCCTGCAAGGGGGCACTGGGGGTGGGGTTGGGGGGCCGGCGGGGAGCGCGTCCCTCACACACAGGGCAGAGAAAACCATGCAAGTCCCGAGGCCGCCTAGAAATCACCCACAGGCTCCCCACGCGGGCGGCGGGCGCGCGTGCCCCAGGCCCCTGCACCTGCCGGCGCGCTGGGCCGCACCTGCCGCCCGGGCCTCCCGCTCACCTTCCAGCAGCTCCTCCAGGCTGGTGACCTTCCTGCTGCCGTCGATGGAGTAGATGGTGCGGACACCCTGGGGCAGGTTCACGTTGTCCGACAGCGAGCGGGTGAGCTCGACGAGCAGCGCGTCGAAGGAGCGGAAGCGGTCGGCGGAGATGGCCAACACCAGGCCCTTGAAGTAGCGGTCCCCGTTCCGGTAGAAGCGCGCCTTCTTGGCCTTCTTCTCCGAGCTCAGGGCCTGCAGGGTGCGCGTGCGGTAGAAGCTGCAGTGGGCGCTGTGCGCCGGGCTGGGGATCAGCCCGTTCCCCTTGGGGCCCGAGCTGCTGCTGCCCCCGGAGGAGCTGGGCGCCCCTCGCCGCGACCCCGGCCGCGGCCTTTTGTCCCGTTCCTCAAAGTGCTCCAGCTCGATACTCCTGGTGCTGGCCATTGCGGCTGCTCCGCGGGCTCCGCGCCCCAAAACGTCCCAGGCGGCGCGCCCTGGGAGCCGGGAGGCGAAGCGAGCGCCCGTGCAGGCGGCCGAGCGCGCGGGGCCTCAGTGCGCCGGGACACCTGGCCCGGGCATCCCGCCCTCCGCGCGCAGGTGCGGCCGCCGCGTCCAGCCGCCCGGCTCCTGGTCCGGCGCGGCCCGCCCCGCGCCTCCCGCCGGCCCCCGGCCCCACGCCCCCCAGCGCGCTCTTGCGCCCGCCACGCCTCGCCGCGCGCGCGGGGAGCCGGCCCGGAGCCGCGAAGTTGGGCGGCCGCAGGCGCACACAAAGCTCGCGCGTCCGCCCGCGCCGCCGGGCGCGCCGAGGGGCAGGCGCGGGGAGGGCGCGAGCGTGGGAGCGGCGCCGCGGCCCGGGGGCGCCCGCCCAGCCCCGCCCGCCCACGCGCGCGGCCCCAGGCGCGGGACGCCGCCTCCCCTGCCCGCCGGGCCCGCGGGGCGCGCGCACGGCTGCGGGCGGAGGGGACCTGCCGGGCGCCTGCCCCGCCCCGAGCCGGCCCGGCCCCCCGGGAGCCGCGCGCTCGGACCCGCGCGGCGCGGGCAGGCCCGGAGGCGGCCCCTGGCCCTCGGGGAGGCCGCACCCCGGGGGCGCGGGAGGGGCGCGGCGGGAGGGGGCCGCCGGGTCGGCGCAGAGGCGGCGCGGCGCGGGGAGCGGCTCCTCTCGGGTCCCGGCAGCGGGCGCGCCTGACAGCTGCGCTCGCGCGCCGCGCGCTCCTCGGCCCGGGACGCGTCCACGCGCAGGCCGGGGGAGCCACAAAGGAAGGAGATTCAAGGGCAGGGATGGCAGCCCCTAGCCGGCCGCCAAGGCAAGCACCCAGGCCAAGTGGGGCAGAAATCCGCAACTGCAAAGAGTTTGGGCACCAAGTTTATTTTTTCAAAAAGCAGATTTGGAGCTTTATTTAGAAAATCTTTTGAACAGCCTCCAGTTTCCATCGCAGACTCTAACAGCGTACATGCAGGACTTGGAATAAATGAGGGCTCGGAAAATATTGGGATTTGAGGGATTTAGTTAAGCCACAAATGTTGATTGGGAGCACTTGTGTGTTGGGCACTGTTTCCATCGCTGGGGATGCTTTAGTAAAGGAAACAATCCCAAAGGCTCTCCCCTGCCCCCCCCATACCCTTACATTCAATTGGTATTTAATGTTATCAATTTGAGCTTCTTATTAAGTAATAAGGCTAACATTTGTAAGCTCCCACTACGCTGGGAATTTTAATTTAGCAGTGTCTGAGCAGCAGTAAAAGCAAGTTTTCCAAAGGCTTGTGAGAACCATCATATCTACTTTGCCATCTTGGAACCATGAAATGTACAGGTGTTCACTCCTAGTCTGACAGGTGTTTAAACTTCTGAAAACTTAGGCTATTAAGCACCTTTTCTGTAAAAAGGCAAAACATCCTATTTTCCCCACAGACTGAGTCCTGTGAAGGCTTGGCCTTCTCAAGACGGCCATTTTGGCATGTGGGTTATCTCAAGCTGAGGTCCATGGAGCTCTGCAGACTCACAAGAAACTTTTGCCACTCCCTTAACTACCCAGAAGAATGAAAATTGGGGTTATTACCCAGCATTAGGGTTATTATCAGAAATAATCTTTCCATCAGAGAAACTTATCTCTAGGGCAAACATCTAATTATAGAGCATCTGATCTTGATGATTTGAGCCACTCTTCTCTGGTCATGTGAGTCCCCCTCTGTCCTTGAAGTCACAGGCCCCAATCCCATCCTCAGCTCAGGTTGTATATCCCCCACTTCACCTCGTTGTCTTTGGAATTTACATCTATGTAGATTCTTTATATATTTATGTATGTATGTATGTATGTATGTATGTGTAGGGTAAGGTAAAAAGTGTCAGGCTTTTCTGCCCTCCCGCTATCAGGACTGATGACAGAACCCTGTGGTCCCGAATGCATGCGTGATGGCGGGCACCTAGAGTAGAGTGTGGGCCTATGTAGACGGGGTTCACCTGAGCTAAGACAGGGCTTTCATGGGCGGCATCACAGGGACGCCAGGAGGAACAGAGAAGCTGAGAGAGAAGCAGAGCCTTGAGAATTGCAGAGAGAATGTGAGAACGCTAGCGAGCCCAGAGTGAAGACTTGCTGGGGGCTGGGAGGCCTGCCAGCCTCCCGGCCCCCTAGCACCTCTGCCTGCCATATACCTGGTAAGTCCCAATAAAAGCCTGCAAAAGCCACTGAGGGCTCCAAGACTCTCACTCCTCCTTTACCCCGTCTGCTGGATCAGAAAACCTGCCCTGTGTCCATTCATTCCTGTCCCTACAGTATGTATGTAATTAGATTTGGTTTTTCTGCTACTAATCCATGTGATGTTCATTTGATTGCTGAACCAGCCTAAGAACTCAGAGGCATAGGGGAAAATGTCCTTTCCTTTCTGACCCCAGAAATGCTTGAAAACAAGGTGGAGATACATTCAGTGGTTCTTGGCAGCTGCGAAGATGATGGCCCTGGCCTGGGCAATGCTCCATGCATGGCTCACCCGTGCAGTCTCAGGCACACTTGGACATACCTGACTTCTAGAGCCAGGACTGGAGTGGCTGAGAAGTGGAGCTCATCTGAGGCATCTGTGTCAATTTGAGGGAAAAATTCTGAAATATAAAATTATGTCCGTGGACATGCACAGATGTCAATCCAGAGCAACAAAATCAGAATTGCTGAGGATGGGCTTCTTCAACAGTAGTCTTTGAAAGTGCTCCGAATGTATACCCATGGTTTCCAACCAGCGGCTATGATATTATTCAAACAAATGAGTGTTTTCTCCTCAGTGCTGTTGTTGTTACATGAGTGGGAATTTTATAAGACACAGATTCAGATTAGTAGGTCTGGGGCTACAGTAGAGATTCTGCATTTCTAACAAGCTCCCAGGTAATGCCAACACTAGTGGTCTTGGCATAATGAAATGCAATGTTTCTTAAGATAGGCCCCATGCAGTTCTAGGAACTGTAGAATCTATCAACTTTGTAAATGGCTTTTTACTATTAGTATTTCTTGAAAAAAAAAAACAGACTATTTTATTGCTGTATTAACAAGTGCTTTCCAACAACACTGTATTATCTCAGCAGTTTCTTTAGTCCAAGAGTGTAGTAGCAGCTTCCCTTGGGGTCTCAAGAAATGGCAAATCAAGATGTTGACTGGGTCTGCAGGAATATGAAGGTTTGACATATTGGAAGATTGGCTTCCAAGATGGTTCACTCATGGAAATGGTAGGAGGCCTCAATTCCTTGCCAGGAATACCTCTCTGTAGGGTCACTGAGTGTTGTCACAACATGTCAGCTGGATTCCTGTAGAGCAAGCATCCAGGAGATAGCAAGATGGAAGGTACAAAGTCTTTTATGATGTGGCCTTGGAGGTCATACCCTGTCATACGTGCAATATCATAGGTTACACAAGTGAGTCCTGTTCAGTGTGGGAGGAGACTACCCTCCAGGCCGTGACCACAGGTGCCAAGGGACATTGAGGTCAGCCTACATCCTGGTAGCACAGGCTCCAACCATTTAAGCTTTAGGACGCTGGCATATATACATATTCTCACTCAACCCTGAGAAAAGATTTGTAAGTACAAAGATATCATATGCCCGTATTTTAACTTTATTCCTTAATAGTATATCCCTAAATTAAACAACAATTACTGCTTTTCAAAAGAGGTACGGTAACAACAAAGTATGTATAAACTGTTAAGTTTAAAAGATTACTTACCGCCTCCTCTTTGCATTTACTGATTGGAAGAATTTTATCCCTGATCCTCATATAAGAATTAAGATGGGGCCTCCCTGGTGGCACAGCAGGTTTAGTCAGCACTGTGAAGCTGTCTGAAGCCTCTGAGGCTTGGGTTCAATTCCTGGCCAGCCAGGGAGATACCCACATGGTGCGGCAGACCTCTCCTGTCTGCCCTCTCCTGTCTCCCCTGCTGCTCCCCTCAGCAGTGCTTTCTGTGTGTTCTGCTTCCCACTCTGGTGAATCCTCTCACCCTACAGCACCTCTGGCCTGTACCCCAGCTATTGTATAAATAAAATAAATCTTTTTTAAAAAAAGAGTTAAGGTGCTATCAGTTTTCATAAGATATTTCCTTCCGCAAGACCCAGTCGAGCAAATGAGAGGTGGGAAAAAATTCATTTCAGTATAAAAATTCTAATGCAAACAAAATTTGGGGACTCTAAGTTGGCAACTCATAATTCATTTGGGTTATTTCATGATTTAAAACATACAGTAAATTCTCCCCCTTTCAAGTACCTAACAGACTTTATCTAGTAAGATAGTCTAACCGGCATTTCCTTTGTTGAAAATATCCCCTTTTTTCTAACCCAGAAAACCCCTGCCCTCCCCGCCCCCCACAACCTGCTTTGCTAATCACTTGCCCTCTAGGGATACTCCAATTCTCCTTGAGGGTTGCAAAGTCTACCACCTGTCTGCTAGGTCCTCATCTTAAAGGGGTCTTGACCTTAGGTCGTGGTGGTGTATTCTCTGTATCCCCCTACCTCCTAAAGTAACACTTGATTGGATAAAAACTTGTGCAGAGTACTTTAAAAATGGCTTCATTTCTGTGCTAGAGAGAATACAAGAATTTTGATCCAAAATTTCATATTCTTTTCTGGCATGATTATAAATTGCCCCTCTCTCTGCTCTTGATATATTTAATTTTAAATCACAAAGTTTCTGGTGGATCTGAAATTTTTTGGGCAATATCCAAGAGGAGTCAGGGCAGAAAACCTCCATCAGGCATGAAGGAAATGTAGTTTTTTTGTTCTCTACACTGTGCATCACGCAGATAAGCAACACAATTTTAGTTCCCTGTAGTTCTTGTTCCCTGCTCACCTCCACCTGGACTAAGAAACACAATGTAAATTTTTATTTAGCATAATTTGTCTAAGTGGAATTTCATTAAGTAATTCCTTGCAGAGTTTTACATTAGAAACTTGCCCTGAACATCTCCTGGTTTTGCTTCACACTACTTCACAAATGCATTGGCTGGCCTGCACTTTTGGCTAGAAACTTCT